AGCACTCCTTTGGAATATTGACCTGCCTGTGTGGGCCTCTCGTCCACACTCGGTCTCGGAAGTGGAGTGATCTTGAGCTGGTGCACCGCTAGATCTCGCAAAGTCATTCTTGAACGTTCTTGAAGACAGTGGCCTCAGGGCATCTCAGTAAACAAGATGACCCGCATTGAATCCCAGAATGATATTGACTTCTGCCATGTTACAATGTTGTTTTTTGGACCTCCCCTACTGCATGGGAACCCTTGGGGTTTCATGGACTTCTGCAAGATCGCAAGTTCTCGGAAACATAACCCCTGACAGTGTATCCTCAAGTCCTTGTGCAAGTTGGGACCCGCTGTCATAAAGACTCACTTTATGACAAAAGGTTTAGCCGTCTTTGACTAGTTGGGTTACAACCCCCGTTTCAACTTCCCAACCTACCATTCCAGACCGCCCCCAAAAAGAATCCGCACATTCTAAAATGCGTCCAAAAGCTGAAACACGGGATCCACAAGTAAAATTCCTCCATTGTGGAGGAGCTTCATATTTCGTGAGAGCAACATAATACAAGCAGTTGCATGCATCGTGATCCCAAGATCATCACCTGACTTTCCCAGCCCCAAGTCTACCCCTTGATTGGTGGCTTGGACCCCAGTTTCCTTTGGAACCCAATGGGGAAGCCATCCCCCCGAATCCAAAAGGCTAAAAGGTGGCAAGTCCCAAATCCGCTGTGAGGTCCCGGCGCCAAGTTGTCCAAACTGCCACTTGGGGTGTCGATGGCCGGTCGATGCAACAATCTGGTCTTCCGTCGCAGTCCCGAACATGAGAAGCCCTTGGTTTGTGTGATTGAACTTTTGACTGAACATACTCACCGTTTTCCGCGGGGCCCTGCAAATCGAGCCAAGAACCCCGGAAACTTCGTTGGCCTGAACACGGAGACACTGCCACGTTTGTAATACACAAGTCGTGTCTGGCTGGAAAACTTCAAGTTCCATGATGGAGGCTCTCATTGCACTCCTTTCGCAAAAAAGAAGACCGGAACATTTGGAGAATAAGTGTCCTTCGCACCTTTGCTCTTCTCTCTCTATTCGAATCTCATTCTCTCTCAATTTCCCCTCTTTTCCACTTCCTCCTTTTTCCTTTTTCAATCATTTTTGCGTTTTTATCCGTCCTGTCCGTCCTGTCCGTCCTTCCTTCCCCGTCCTCTTTTCCCTCAGTTCGTCCTTTCTTCCCGTCTCTCCCCGTCTCTCTCCTTTCGTCTCCCCGAAGCGCGGGGTTTCCGCTCGCGGCCTTCGCGGCCTTCGCGGCCTTCGCGGCGCCCGGCCCTTTCGACTATTCTCTCCCCGCCTTTTTCCCCTTCCCGGGTGCTTCCCGGGAGAAAGAAAACCCCGAGAACTCGCCTCTTCCCCTTCTTGGCCTTGGTGCTTTTTTTTGGGTTCTATTGCTTTCATTTCTAGTGCTTCTGGGAAAGACAAGAAAAGTCGCTTTCTCTTTTGCTCTTGGTCTTTTGGTTTCTCTTCTGTTTCTGAGTCCTGTTGGTCTTTCTTTGCCAAGCTTTTCGTCTTTTGTGCTTCTGTGTTTCAAAGTTGTTCTTTTGTTCTTTTGCCAGGTTTTCTGGCACCACGTCAAAACAAGAACAAAGGAGGAACACTTCAAGCAATCGGAAGACAACAAAGCATCTAGCGCTCTTCGCAGGATGTGTGGGGGTGGGTCCTTCTCTTGCAAAGCGGTCTCCGCGTTTTTGCTCACCAGAAATTATAATGTTCACTGCTTAGCCTACAGTGGACATGTTATAAATCATGGCAAAGGAAGCATGAAAGCGCACATTTCTTTTTAATGGGTGTTGCTCAGAGGTGCAGGCTTGATGCAGATAGGCCAACATGCGTGTTCGACCCATGCACTCTGCATCCCATGCGGAGCCTGTGTACGTACCCCCACATGAGAGCTCTTAGCAACCGGTAAAGCATCAGGGCCCCCTCTTCAGTGCGGCTGCGATGCTTTTCTATGCTGCGGACGCCACGGTGCGTCTGATGGATGCAGGGTTCCGCCTAAGAGACACTCTGGCCTCAGGTCTTGATGCGAAAGCTGTCAGGTTATCCCTGCTAAGCTGGTGTTGTGCTCGCCAGGAATTTGCGATGCCATGATGGACCACTTATGTTTGTGGGCCCACGCTGCCACGAGCTGGTTCCTGCATGTTGCACGAACACTCGCAAGCGCCCGGTGGTGCTGAATGAGCAACATGCAACAGGCTCATATCGCTCGTACGCTGCTAATCTAAACATAGGGCACGTGGCTCCATGCTGAACAAGAAGCATGCCCCAGTTGGCGGGCTCCAGAACTGGACGCGACCGAGAATGCAAAAGGCTCTTTGGCATGTCGCAGCCCAGTCTCGACTCCAGCTTCGCCTCGATTGCGGCAAAATCTTTCGAGGCATTGGCGCTCGGTCTCCAGCGTGAAGCGGAGACTCGTCTTCATTGGCCGGTTGAGGTGCTTCAAGGCGTTTCGTCCGGCGCATCAATCGATGTGATGCCTCGGCGCGAGCCCCTCCTCACCATTGCGATATTGGTTCAATTGCCTAGCGGCTCCATGGTCAGTGACGGTATGAACCAGTCGTGTCACCCGCACCTGGCGCTCAACCGCAAGCTTGATTAATGTCTGACCTTGCTGGGCGCATCCATCTTCTTCTGCTTCAACATCAGCTCTTTGCACCTGCAACGCGAGTGCACAGTTGTTGACCCTGTCCCGGGCATTGTCAGAGCCCCAGTCTGCCAGCCACATGCCGTAGATAGCAAAAACATCTAGCCACCTCCACCATGAAAGGCAAATGAGAAGGACCTGAACCCAAACGTTTGTGCGGTCGGAGCAGCAGCAAATCAATTCAAGGCCTGTGAGGATATACATCCTGTGCCAGCACGTGAGTTGTGGACTTGCTGCTGCGTGCATGCTTCTGAAGAAGCATCCACTCAAGCGTGCTCGGCCGCAAAACCTATCTAGCCTGAAACTCCGTGCAGTCCGGGCACATCATGCGGAAGTTGGCGAATTCCAACTTGCCCATCTTCTTCGCGTGGCGCAAGAAATCGGGAAAGGCGAGTACCTTACACACCCACGCGTGAGGCAGTGATGCCTAAGGGCAGACCTAACATATGCTCATGATTAGCCGCTAGCCAGTCCTACAACAATGCCCCACAATAACGCCCCGGTGGGTAGGCTTGGTATGCGTTGCTTGGACTTGGCCACCTAAAGTGAGTGAGACCATCCCACATGCCAGGTGCAAACTCTCAAGTCATCCCAGCCTGATAACTAATGAAGACCAAGAGAGGCCCCATCTGCTCCAGGGTCCGCAAGGGTTTCGTGCCCGCCACAGGGATCTAAATCGCGCCCAGCGTGCGGATCAGGAAGATGGAGTAGGCCCTGACCATCTCGCACTTTCCGGCGGGAGCCAACTAAACAGCACTTAGACTTGGCGCTTGAAGCAGCAAACGTGAGCAAAGCTTTGAAGGGGGAATGAAAGAAGCAAAACGCTGTTTCGGTTCAAAGTTACCTCAACTGCATTTCGACCAAGAAGTACCAACATGCGAGCATGGGCGCGAATCCTGTTGAGGACAAAGCAGCGTCACAAACCAAACCCTGGCTGAGCCAAGCAGCCGCCCCAAGCTGCAACCATGTTGATGTAGGAGAGGCCAGTGAATATGCGGATGGGCCAATATTTTGGAGTACGGATCTCAGCAACTGGACTTGCAAGCGCAGTCATCAAGTCGCCATACATTATCCCTCGCGGGAGCTGGCGGACAAGAGCCATAGCCAAAACCTACATCCATTTTCGGCGGCCCTAAGTTAATGGCATCCATACCATCACACACACACGCGCATATTGACACAAATGATGCGCAGGCAAACTTCCAGCACCCCTTTGGATTATTGACCTGCCTGTGTGGGCCTTTCGTTGTTGATTTTGAAAATCCTCCGGACCACACTCGGTCTCGTAGGTGAAGTCATCTCGAGCAGGTGCACCGCTAGATCTCGCAAAGTCATTCTTGAACGTTCTTGAAGACAGTGGTCTGAGGGCATCTCAGTGAACAACATGTGGATGATATTGACTTCTGCCATGTTGATTTTTGGACCTCTCCTAGAGCCCAATCAATCTAATGCCTCAGCAGGAGTGCCATCAGATCTTTGCACCTGCAACGCGAGTGCACACTTGTGAACCTGTCCCGGGCATTGTTAGAGCCAGTCTGCCACACCTAGTAGCTAGCCTCGCAATCTAGAATCACCTAGACCTGCAAATCCAGCCCCCAAGTTTCAATTCAAATTGAGTTGGGATGTTAAGGGGCGGGGATTCCTGCAATTCAACATTATTTTGTCACGACTCCGGGCCTGTGACGAAAGTGCGCGTGCGAGTGTTCTGGAAGCACGTCGCTGAAGGCACCAGGCGATAGGTCACAATGGACACCCCGTGTAATTGCAAAACACCTCCGGAGCTCTTGGTGACCTGTCGACACGTCCATGTCCTGCCAGATGGAATCGTTCGAGGCCAGGGAAGCAGTAGCCAAGTCAGAGCTGTGCACGTGGCATGCGGATGATGACCCGCATTCCATCCACATCACTTTGCCGGGTTGATTTTCGGACCTCCCCTACTGCACGGGAACCCTGCAAAATCCTCTTGTCGTGATACCCACAGAGCCGGCTGTGGCGCACCAGCCCGCGAAGTCGCGCTCATCCGGGAGATGCACGCTGTGCCCGCCAATGCTGAGCCGCTCGCCCAAAGACCGAGCTGCCAAACCTCAGCTGCAAGAGCAACGTGCAACAGGCTCATATCGCTCGTACGCTGCTAATCTAAACATAGGGCACGTGGGGCTGGCTCCATGCTGAACAAGAAGCATGCCCCAGTTGTCGGGCTCCAGAGCTGGACGCGACCGAGAATGCAAAAGGCTCTTTAGCGTCTCGCAGCCTAGTCCGGACTCCGGCTTGGCCTCGCTTGCGGTTTTGCACGATCTTTCGAGGCAATGGCCGGTTGAGGTGCTTCAAGGCTTTTTGTCCTGCGAATTGCCATCGACATTCTTGTCCCAATCGATGCAATGCCTCAGCGCGAGCTCCTCCTCACCCTTGTGATATTGGTTCAATTGCCTAGCGGCTCCATGGTCAGTGACGGCCTGCACCAGTCGTGTCATCCGCGCCTGGCGCTCAACCGCAAGCTTGATTAGTGTCTGACCTCGCTGGTCGCATCCATCTTCTCCCGCTTCACCATCAGCCCTTTGCACCTGCAACGCGGGTGCACAGTTGTTGACCCTGTCCCTGGCATTGTCAGAGCCCCAGTCTGCCAGCCACATGCTGTAGATAATTAGCAAAAACATTTAGCCACCTCCACCATGAAAGGCAAATGAGAAGGACCTGAACCCAAACGTTTGAGCGGTCGGAGCAGCAGCAAATCAATTCAAGGCCTGTGAGGATACACATCCTGTGCCAGCACGTGAGTTGTGGACTTGCTGCTGCGTGCATGCTTCTGAAGAAGCATCCACTCAAGCGTGCTCTGCCCCGAGCACATGATGCGGAAGTTGGCGAATTCCAACTTGCCCATCTTCTTCGCGTGGCGCAAGAAATCGGGAAAGGCGAGTACCTTACACACCCACGCGTGAGGCAGTGATGCCTAAGGGCAGACCTAACATATGCTCATGTTTAGCCGCTAGCCAGTCCTACAACAATGCCCCACAATAACGCCCCGGTGGGTAGGCTTGGTATGCGTTGCTTGGACTTGGCCACCTAAAGTGAGTGAGACCATCCCACATGCCAGGTGCAAACTCTCAAGTCATCCCAGACTGATAACTAATGAAGACCAAGAGAGGCCCCATCTGCTCCAGGGTCCGCAAGGGTTTCGTGCCCGCCACAGGGATCTAAATCGCGCCCAGCGTGCGGATCAGGAAGATGGAGTAGGCCCTGACCATCTCGCACTTTCCGGCGGGAGCCAACTAAACAGCACTTAGACTTGGCGCTTGAAGCAGCAAACGTGAGCAAAGCTTTGAAGGGGGAATGAAAGAAGCAAAACGCTGTTTCGGTTCAAAGTTACCTCAACTGCATTTCGACCAAGAAGTACCAACATGCGAGCATGGGCGCGAATCCTGTTGAGGACAAAGCAGTGTCACAAACAAAACCCTGGCTGAGCCAAGCAGCCGCCCCAAGCTGCAACCATGTTGATGTAGGAGAGGCCAGTGAAGATGCCGATGGGCCAATTCTTTGGATTACGGACCTCAGCAACTGGACTTGCAAGCGCAGTCATCAAGTCGCCATACATTATCCCTCGCGGGAGCTGGCGGACAAGAGCCATAGCCAAAACATACATCCATTTTCGGCGGCCCTAAGTTAATGGCATCCACACCATCACACACATATTGCCACAAATGATGCGCAGGTAAACTTCCAGCACACCTTTGGAATATTGACCTGCCTGTGTGGGCCTTTCGTTGTTGATTTTGAAAATCCTCCGGACCACACTCGGTCTCGTAGGTGAAGTCATCTCGAGCAGGTGCACCGCTAGATCTCGCAAAGTCATTATTGAACGTTCTTGAAGACAGTGGTCTGAGGGCATCTCAGTGAACAACATGTGGATGATATTGACTTCTGCCATGTTGATTTTTGGACCTCCCCTAGAGCCCAATCAATCTAATGCCTCTAGGAGTGCCATCAGCTCTTTGCACCTGCAACGCGAGTGCACACTTGTGAACCTGTCCCGGGCATTGTTAGAGCCAGTCTGCCAGGTTCATGCTTAGGGCAAACACCCAGCAAATAGCATCAAATCCAGCCCCCAGGATTCAATTCAATTTGAGTTGGGATGTTAAGGAGCGGGGATTCCTGCAATTCAACATTCTTTTGTTACGACTCCGGGCCTGTGACGAAAGTGCGCGTGCGAGTGTTCTGGAAGCACGTCGCTGAAGGCACCAGGCGATAGGTCACAATGGACACCCCGTGTAATTGCAAAACACCTCCGGAGCTCTTGGTGACCTGTCGACACGTCCATGTCCTGCCAGATGGAATCGTGCGAGGCCAGGGAAGCAGTAGCCAAGTCAGAGCTGTGCACGTGGCATGCGGATGATGACCCGCATTCCATCCACATCACTTTGCCGGGTTGATTTTCGGACCTCCCCTACTGCACGGGAACCCTGCAAAATCCTCTTGTCGTGATACCCACAGAGCCGGCTGTGGCGCACCAGCCCGCGAAGTCGCTCTCCGGGAGATGCACGCTGTGCCCGCCAATGCTGAGCCGCTCGCCCAAAGACCGAGCTGCCAAACCTCTGCAAGAGCAACGTGCAACAGGCTCATATCGCTCGTACGCTGCTAATCTAAACATAGGGCACGTGGGGCTGGCTCCATGCTGAACAAGAAGCATGCCCCAGTTGTCGGGCTCCAGAGCTGGACGCGACCGAGAATGCAAAAGGCTCTTTAGCGTCTCGCAGCCTAGTCCGGACTCCGGCTTGGCCTCGCTTGCGGTTTTGCACGATCTTTCGAGGCAATGGCCGGTTGAGGTGCTTCAAGGCTTTTTGTCCCCACAATAACGCCCCGGTGGGTAGGCTTGGTATGCGTTGCTTGGACTTGGCCACCTAAAGTGAGTGAGATCATCCCACATGCCAGGTGCAAACTCTCAAGTCATCCCAGCCGGATACCAAAGAAGACCAAGAAAGGCCCCATCTGCTCCAGGCACCACAAACCGCAAGGGTTTCGTGCCCGCCACAGGGATCTGAATCGCGCCCTGCGTGCCAATGAAAAAACTAGGCCCTGACCATCTCGGGCTAGCCAGCGCCATGAAGACCAAGAGAGGCCCCATCTGCTCCAGGCACCACAAACCGCAAGGCTTTCGTGCCCTCCACAAGGATCTAAATCGCGCCCAGCGTGCCGATCAGGAAGATGGAGTAGGCCCTGACCATCTCGCACTTTCCGGCGGGAGCCAACTAAACAGCACTTAGACTTGGCGCTTGAAGCAGCAAACGTGAGCAAAGCTTTGAAGGGGGAATGAAAGAAGCAAAACGCTGTTTCGGTTCAAAGTTACCTCAACTGCATTTCGACCAAGAAGTACCAACATGCGAGCATGGGCGCGAATCCTGTTGAGGACAAAGCAGTGTCACAAACCAAACCCTGGCTGAGCCAAGCAGCCGCCCCAAGCTGCAACCATGTTGATGTAGGAGAGGCCAGTGAAGATGCCGATGGGCCAATATTTTGGAGTACGGACCTCAGCAACTGGACTTGCAAGCGCAGTGATCAAGTCGCCATACATTTTCCCTCCCGGGAGCTGGCGGACAAGAGCCATAGCCAAAACCTACATCCATTTTCGGCGGCCCTAAGTTAATGGCATCCACACCATCACACACATATTGCCACAAATGATGCGCAGGTAAACTTCCAGCACCCCTTTGGAATATTGACCTGCCTGTGTGGGCCTTTCGTTGTTGATTTTGAAAATCCTCCGGACCACACTCGGTCTCGTAGGTGAAGTCATCTCGAGCAGGTGCACCGCTAGATCTCGCAAAGTCATTCTTGAACGTTCTTGAAGACAGTGGCCTCAGGGCATCTCAGTGAACAACATGTGGATGATATTGACTTCTGCCATGTTGATTTTTGGACCTCCCCTAGAGCCCAATCAATCTAATGCCTCTAGGAGTGCCATCAGCTCTTTGCACCTGCAACGCGAGTGCACACTTGTGAACCTGTCCCGGGCATTGTTAGAGCCAGTCTGCCAGGTTCATGCTTAGGGCAAACACCCAGCAAATAGCATCAAATCCAGCCCCCAGGATTCAATTCAATTTGAGTGGGGATGTTAAGGAGCGGGGATTCCTGCAATTCAACATTCTTTTGTTACGACTCCGGGCCTGTGACGAAAGTGCGCGTGCGAGTGTTCTGGAAGCACGTCGCTGAAGGCACCAGGCGATAGGTCACAATGGACACCCCGTGTAATTGCAAAACACCTCCGGAGCTCTTGGTGACCTGTCGACACGTCCATGTCCTGCCAGATGGAATCGTGCGAGGCCAGGGAAGCAGTAGCCAAGTCAGAGCTGTGCACATGGCATGCGGATGATGACCCGCATTCCATCCACATCACTTTGCCGGGTTGATTTTCGGACCTCCCCTACTGCACGGGAACCCTGCAAAATCCCCTTGTCGTGATACCCACAGAGCCGGCTGTGGCGCACCAGCCCGCGAAGTCGCTCTCCGGGAGATGCACGCTGTGCCCGCCAATGCTGAGCCGCTCGCCCAAAGACCGAGCTGCCAAACCTCTGCAAGAGCAACGTGCAACAGGCTCATATCGCTCGTACGCTGCTAATCTAAACATAGGGCACGTGGGGCTGGCTCCATGCTGAACAAGAAGCATGCCCCAGTTGTCGGGCTCCAGAGCTGGACGCGACCGAGAATGCAAAAGGCTCTTTAGCGTCTCGCAGCCTAGTCCGGACTCCGGCTTGGCCTCGCTTGCGGTTTTGCACGATCTTTCGAGGCAATGGCCGGTTGAGGTGCTTCAAGGCTTTTTGTCCTGCGAATTGCCATCGACATTCTTGTCCCAATCGATGCAATGCCTCAGCGCGAGCTCCTCCTCACCCTTGTGATATTGGTTCAATTGCCTAGCGGCTCCATGGTCAGTGACGGCCTGCACCAGTCGTGTCATCCGCGCCTGGCGCTCAACCGCAAGCTTGATTAATGTCTGACCTCGCTGGTCGCATCCATCTTCTCCCGCTTCACCATCAGCTCTTTGCACCTGCAACGCGGGTGCACGGTTGTTGACCCTGTCCCTGGCATTGTCAGAGCCCCAGTCTGCCAGCCACATGCTGTAGATAATTAGCAAAAACATCTAGCCACCTCCACCATAAAAGGCAAATGAGAAGGACCTGAACCCAAACGTTTGAGCGGTCGGAGCAGCAGCAAATCAATTCAAGGCCTGTGAGGATACACATCCTGTGCCAGCACGTGAGTTGTGGACTTGCTGCTGCGTGCATGCTTCTGAAGAAGCATCCACTCAAGCGTGCTCTGCCCCGAGCACATGATGCGGAAGTTGGCGAATTCCAACTTGCCCATCTTCTCCGCGTGGCGCAAGAAATCGGGAAAGGCGAGTACCTTCCACACCCACGCGTGAGGCAGTGATGCCTAAGGGCAGACCTAACATATGCTCATGTTTAGCCGCTAGCCAGTCCTACAACAATGCCCCACAATAACGCCCCGGTGGGTAGGCTTGGTATGCGTTGCTTGGACTTGGCCACCTAAAGTGAGTGAGACCATCCCACATGCCAGGTGCAAACTCTCAAGTCATCCCAGCCTGATAACTAATGAAGACCAAGAGAGGCCCCATCTGCTCCAGGCACCACAAACCGCAAGGCTTTCG